ATTACGTAAAATGAAAGGGGGTAAAGCAGCTGGTACTGATGGGATCATGACAGAAATGTTAAAAGCAGGGGGGGATTATAGTGTTGGAGTGGTTGGTACTTTTGTTCAATAAATGTATGAAAGAGGGGAAGGTACCTAGGGATTGGCGGAGAGCATGTATAGTCCCTTTATATAAAGGGAAAGGGGACAAAAGAGACTGTAAAAATTATAGAGGAATAAGCTTACTGAGTATACCAGGAAAAGTGTACGGTAGGGTTATAATTGAAAGAATTAGAGGTAAGACAGAATGTAGGATTGCGGATGAGCAAGGAGGTTTCAGAGTGGGTAGGGGATGTGTAGATCAAGTGTTTACATTGAAGCATTATATGTGAACAGTATTTAGATAAAGGTAGGGAAGTTTTTATTGCATTTATGGATTTAGAAAAGGCATATGATAGAGTGGATAGAGGAGCAATGTGGCAGATGTTGCAAGTATATGGAATAGGTGGTAAGTTATTAAATGCTGTAAAGAGTTTTTATGAAGATAGTGAGGCTCAGGTTAGGGTGTGTAGAAGAGAGGGAGACTATTTCCCGGTAAAAGTAGGTCTTAGACAGGGATGTGTGATGTCACCATGGTTGTTTAATATATTTATAGATGGGGTTGTTAAGGAAGTAAATGCTAGGGTGTTTGGGAGAGGGGTGGGATTAAATTATGGGGAATCAAATTCAAAATGGGAATTGACACAGTTACTTTTTGCTGATGATACTGTGCTTATGGGAGATTCTAAAGAAAAATTGCAAAGGTTAGTGGATGAGTTTGGGAATGTGTGTAAAGGTAGAAAGTTGAAAGTGAACATAGAAAAGAGTAAGGTGATGAGGGTGTCAAATGATTTAGATAAAGAAAAATTGGATATCAAATTGGGGAGGAGGGGTATGGAAGAAGTGAATGTTTTCAGATACTTGGGAGTTGACGTGTCGGCGGATGGATTTATGAAGGATGAGGTTAATCATAGAATTGATGAGGGAAAAAAGGTGAGTGGTGCGTTGAGGTATATGTGGAGTCAAAAAACGTTATCTATGGAGGCAAAGAAGGGAATGTATGAAAGTATAGTAGTACCAACACTCTTATATGGGTGTGAAGCTTGGGTGGTAAATGCAGCAGCGAGGAGACGGTTGGAGGCAGTGGAGATGTCCTGTTTAAGGGCAATGTGTGGTGTAAATATTATGCAGAAAATTCGGAGTGTGGAAATTAGGAGAAGGTGTGGAGTTAATAAAAGTATTAGTCAGAGGGCAGAAGAGGGGTTGTTGAGGTGGTTTGGTCATTTAGAGAGAATGGATCAAAGTAGAATGACATGGAAAGCATATAAATCTATAGGGGAAGGAAGGCGGGGTAGGGGTCGTCCTCGAAAGGGTTGGAGAGAGGGGGTAAAGGAGGTTTTGTGGGTAAGGGGCTTGGACTTCCAGCAAGCGTGCGTGAGCGTGTTAGATAGGAGTGAATGGAGACGAATGGTACTTGGGACCTGACGATCTGTTGGAGTGTGAGCAGGGTAATATTTAGTGAAGGGATTCAGGGAAACCGGTTATTTTCATATAGTCGGACTTGAGTCCTGGAAATGGGAAGTACAATGCCTGCACTTTAAAGGAGGGGTTTGGGATATTGGCAGTTTGGAGGGATGTGTTGTGTATCTTTGTATGTGTATGCTTCTGGACTGTTGTATTCTGAGCACCTCTGCAAAAGCAGTGATGGTGTGCGAGTGTGGTGAAAGTGTTGAATGATGATGAAAGTATTTTCTTTTTGGGGATTTTCTTTCTTTTTTGGGTCACCCTGCCTCGGTGGGAGACGGCCGACTTGTTGAAAAAAAAAAAAAAAAAAAAAAAAAAAAATATCCAAAATATTGCTGGGACATATAAATACTTCGTTTATATTCCAAGACAATAGTAAATGACCAAGGCAGGTGTAAATGTCAACCTGTCAATGTCTTTGTGACAATTTGAGTACAATTTCAGTACCTAATACTAGTGTCAGAACAAAGATTGGTTATAAAATGACAAGAACTACTACAAATTGTAATTATCAGAACATAAAAATTACATAAAACAATATGAAAAATAAAAAAAAAGGTATATGAGCAACACTTCTGCAAGCAGCAGGACTCGATGTTGCTGTCACATGAGCATCCAGTGCCAAATTCTCGGCCTCATATCTCGGTAAGTAGTGACCCTAAAAAATTTTTTTTTATTCTATAACACTTAGAAAAGGTGCTCTTTTTTTATATATAAAAAAAAAACTTTTTAACCCGTAAACGGTCCAAACTTATATATACGTTCACTATTGTACTGCCCCAACTTTTTTGAGGAAAAAAAAAAACCCGTTGTTCTTTAATAGGATAAAAGAGCATATGGTACCCAGGCATCCCAAATTATTTTAATATGGCACACAGTGAGTGCTCACACCCATTCTCTCATGTCTAGGCAACTCGGGCTTATCGTGGCAATGTTAAATGTATGACACAAAAAGTGTATATACGTTTGGGGCACTAGCGGTAAAAACGTATATATACGTTTGGATCGTTTACGGGTTAAGGGTTAAACTTAACCCATACGTCTATCCCATTGCCTGTACTCTCACTAGCCTATCTGTCCTCCAGCAATTGTTTATATCTTGCCCTACCTCCCTCCTTTAGTTTATACACCCTCACTTCTCTCTCTTCTCTCTTGTACTTGCTGCTTCCATTTTCCTTATATCCCATCTACCTTTTACTCTCTCTAGCTACAACTAAAAAGTGATCTGATATATCTGTGGCCTCTCTATATATACCATTTCACCCTACATCATATCTTGTATACTTATTTACCCTCTTTTTCTTAAAGTATGTTACCTATAACCAAACCCATTTCTCTGCAAAGTTAAATCAGATTCTCCCCATTATCATTTACACCTGGCACTCCAAACTTAGCTACCACACCCTCTTTAAATGCTTATTCCACTTTAGCATTTAGGTCCCCTACCACAGTTACTCTTACTTGGCTCAAAAGTTCCTACACACTCGCTTAACATCTCCCAAAATCTCTCTACACTCCTCTTTTCACTTTTCACATCCAACCCTTATTTTAATCTACATAATTCTTGAATTTATACATATATATTCCCTCTTCTCTCTCCATAACTGATCCTTCAACATTATTGCTACCCCTTCCTTAGCTCTAACTCTCTCAGATACTCCTGACTTAATCCCATTTATTTCTCCCCACTGAAACTCCCCTACCCCTTTCAGCTTTGTTTTGCTTAGGGCCGGGACATCCAACTTTTTTCATTCATAACATTAGCAGTCATTTCTTTCTTATCATCCACATTACATCCACACACATTCAAACATCCCAGTTTTATAGTTTTTCTTTTCCTTGTTTTTAGTAGTTTTTTTTTTTTTTTTATTATCACACCGGCTGATTCCCACCAAGGCAGGGTGGCCCGAAAAAGAAAAACTTTCACCATCATTCACTCCATCACTGTCTTGCCAGAAGGGTGCTTTACACTACAGTTTTTAAACACTTATCCCCTTATAATTTTTGCACTCTCTTTTATCCCCTTTGCCTTTATACAAAGGAACTATGCATGCTCTCTGCCAATCCTAGGTACCTTACCCTCTTCCATACATTTATTAAATAATTGCACCAACCACTCCAAAACTATATCCCCACCTGCTTTTAACATTTCTATCTTTATCCCATCAATCCCGGCTGCCTTACCCCCTTTCATTTTACCTACTGCCTCACGAACTTCCCCCACACTCACAACTGGCTCTTCCTCACTCCTACAAGATGTTATTCCTCCTTGCCCTATACACGAAATCACAGTTTCCCTATCTTCATCAACATTTAACAATTCCTCAAAATATTCCTTCCATCTTCCCAATACCTCTAACTCTCCATTTAATAACTCTCCTCTCCTATTTTTAACTGACAAATCCATTTGTTCTCTAGGCTTTCTTAACTTGTTAATCTCGCTCCAAAACTTTTTCTTATTTTCAACAAAAATTTGTTGATAACATCTCACCCACTCTCTCATTTGCTCTCTTTTTACATTGCTTCACCACTCTCTTAACTTCTCTCTTTTTCTCCATATACTCTTCCCTCCCTTGCATCACTTTACTTTGTAAAAACTTCTCATATGCTAACTTTTTCTCCCTTACTACTCTCTTTACATCATCATTCCACCAATCGCTCCTCTTCCCTCCTGCACCCACTTTCCTGTAACCACAAACTTCTGCTGAACACTCTAACACTACATTTTTAAACCTACCCCATACCTCTTCGACCCCATTGCCTATGCTCTCATTAGCCCATCTATCCTCCAATAGCTGTTTATATCTTACCCTAACTGCCTCCCTTTTAGTTTATAAACCTTCACCTCTCTCTTCCCTGATGCTTCTATTCTCCTTGTATCCCATCTACCTTTTACTCTCAGTGTAGCTACAACTAGAAAGTGATCTGATATATCTGTGGCCCCTCTATAAACATGTACATCCTGAAGTCTACTCAACAGTCTTTTATCTACCAATACATAATCCAACAAACTACTGTCATTTCGCCTACATCATATCGTGTATACTTATTTATCCTCTTTTTCTTAAAATATGTATTACCTATAACTAAACCCCTTTCTATACAAAGTTCAATCAAAGGGCTCCATTATCATTTACACCTGGCACCCCAAACTTACCTACCACACCCTCTCTAAAAGTTTCTCCTACTTTAGCATTCAAGTCCCCTACCACAATTACTCTCACTTGGTTCAAAGGCTCCTATACATTCACTTAACATCTCCCAAAATCAATCTCTCTCCTCTGCATTCCTCTCTTCTCCAGGTGCAAAACACGCTTATTATGACCCACTTCTCGCATCCAACCTTTACTTTAATCACATAATTCTTGAATTTACACATTCATATCTCTTTTCTCCTTCCATAACTGATCATTTAACATTACTGCTACCCCTTCCTTTGCTCTAACTCTCTCAGATACTCCAGATTTAATCCCATTTTATTTCCCCCCACTGAAACTCTCCTACCCCCTTCAGCTTTGTTTCGCTTAGGGCCAGGACATCCAACTTCTTTTCATTCATAACATCAGCAATCATCTGTTTCTTGTCATCCGCACTACATCCACGCACATTTAAGCAACCCAGTTTTATAAAGTTTTTTCTTCTTCTCTTTTTTAGTAATTGTATACAGGAGAAGGGGTTACTAGCCCATTGCTCCCGGCATTTTAGTCGCCTCATACGACACGCATGGCTTACGGAGGAAAGATTCTTTCCACTTCCCCATGGACAATAGAAGAAATAAAAAAAGAACAAGAGCTATTTAGAAAAAGGAGAAAAACCTAGATGTATGTATATATATATATGCATGTGCGTGTCTGTGAAGTGTGACCAAAGTGTAAGTAGGAGTAGCAAGATATCCCTGTTATCTTAGCGTGTTTATGAGACAGAAAAAGAAACCAGCAATCCTACCATCATGCAAAACAGTTACAGGTTTTTGTTTCACAGTCGTCTGGCAGGACGGTAGTACTTCCCTGGGTGGTTGCTGTCTACCAACCTACTACAGTTTAATTGCTCCCAGCATTTAGTCGCCTCCTATGACACGCATAGCTAATGGAGGAAGAATTCTATTCCACTTCCCCATGGAGATAAGCAGAAATAAACAAGAACAAGAACTAGGAAGAAAATAGAATAAAACCCAGAGGGGTTAGTATATATATACTTATACATGCATGTGTAGTGTGACCTAAGTGTAAGTAGAAGTAGCAAGACATACCTGCAATCTTGCATGTTTGAGACAGAAAGACACCAGCAATCCTACCATCATGCAAAACATTTACAGGCTTATGTTTCATACTCATTGGTAGGACGGTAGTACCTCCCTGGGTGGTTGCTGTCTACCAACCTACTAATATCACCAAAAGTACAGTATACAATTTGATGGGAAGCTTAAGGGCATAGTTACTTGTCAAGTCTCATTTTAACCTTTTCAGGGTCCAGACCCCTGATCTGAAAATTGCTCTCAGGGTCCAAGACTTTAGAAAAAAAAATTCTTGTGAATTGATTGAGAATCTTTTTGAAGGTAATAACACCCAAAGTACAAAATTTGATGGAAATTTCTGGAATTAGACTCGCATGGTTGGCTCAGTCTTGGCGATATTTACACAAGTGAATTCTCCCACTCTGAGTCTTATTTTAAGCCAATTCCATTGTTCCAGTCGACTAACCTTGGCTATTTCGCTTGTATGCCTTCTGTCGATTGAGTACAAGAAACTCCCCATTTAACTATTTCAGCTACCCAAGAAAGCAACCAGAAATCACTAATTTGCCCAATTTCACATAAAAATTTCGTATTTGAAAATAGTCCTGAATAAACAGTGTAGACATTCCTGGGGCTAAAACAATTACTCTGTTCATTAGTCATGTCCCCCAGGCCTCTCCCATATTACGGTTACTTTTCATTTTAAATTTTTATTCACAAAAAATAAAGATTTAATGTTATGCAGACAACTTCATTATTGTAATTGTATAAATGTCAGTGCTCTCCTGAACGTGAATTAATTTCGACTAGTTAGACACATTGTACAAGTGACATAAACAGACCATACCACGGGTGGGGATAGAAGCCGCGATCAGACTGATCGCAGGTTTTATCCCCGCCTGTGGTATGGTTTGTTTGCAATTGTGTCATTACGATTTCCTGAGTCAAGTGACATAATTTGTGTAGTTATGCTACTTTGAGCTCAATTTCAAGCTACTTCATCCTGAAACCAATCAAAATAATCTCTATGTAATATATCTTCCATTCTATCAAATGATACCAAGAATACAACTGTAAAAAAACACCTGAAAATAGAAGTCACTATATTGAACCAAATATTCAGTTTTCCCCATCATGCAATGTGTGGGGGCAGGATTTTTTTTTCTAGTGCATTTTCCCATTCTCTCATATCTAGGCCCAAATTTATCACTGCTTATCTGAGTGAGCTGAGCTCATGTAGAACAACAGCGCAGACCTAAGCTCAAAGCCGTGGTTTACTATGGCATGGACCTCGAAAGGGTTAAGCCAGTTCCATTGCTCCATTTGACCAAGTTCTTATCTGTTACGCTAGTATGACTTCTGTTCTATTGATTGAGCACAAGAAACTACCCATTTAACTATTCATATTAAAATTACCCTACAAAATCTAATTTGGCCAGATTTACACAATTAAAAAATACTAAGAGTCCAAAATAAACTAGATATTCCTGGCATTAAAAGAACATTTGCCTTATTCATTAATCATTTTCCCCATGCCTCTCCTATATTACACTTGCTATCCATTTTCAGTTTAGTCACAAAAGTAGAAGATGTGTGCTTTCTCAGGTAATAAAATCTAATTAGGAGTGATTGGTTATGGTTTACAGCATCCCAATAATTGGTTCAGACGTACAAAAGTCGGTAAAACAGACCAGGGAGTATATGGAGGCCATACTCCTCAGGAAAATTGTCAAAAATTTAATATTTTCATTAATTTGAGCTGTTTCAAGCTACTTTTATTCATGAAGCCAACCAGAATCTTATCTATTTCAGTAGTATGTCTTCCATTCTATCAAACGATGCCAAAAATGACGAGTAAAATCATAAACAATCATCTTAGAAAACACATGTTATTTTTATCAAACAAGGTCATTTTGTTTTTCCCATCATGCACCATATAGGGCATGATTTTTTTTATTGTACATACACCACACAGGCCCATTCTCTCATTTCTAGGCCAAAATTTACCGCTCACAGCTTCACAGAGTGAGCTGAGCTCGTGATGTGGAACTCCATGAGGGACCCTTGCCTCAATGATGTAGTTCTATGTGATGACCATTGAAAGGGTTAAATTATGACATTTGCTAAAAATATAAAAAGATTAAGTAGGAAAATATAGAAAAAAATTTACTTTCCTATGCTTGTCACAAGGTAGGGGGAGTGCAGTCTTGTCGCCCATTAACATATAAAGCACTTCATACTGTACTGCTATTGCTACATATTACACTAGTAAATGCACTCCATCCTGCACTGCTATTAATATATATATTCTTTTAACATGTAGAGCCAAAGTAAGTTTAATTACTGATTTGGATTGGTCTTTGAGAAAAAAGATGAATGATTGAAATCCTTGCATAAAAGTTTGAAAATTGTAAAGCTCTTATTTTGTTTACAAAATCATTGTTGATTTATTTCTCCAGAAAGTTTGCCAGGTTAGAGGAAACATTAATTGTTTTAACCCATAAACATGCATAACCAGAAATGAAATTTCCCATCTCTTCAGGACAACTTTGGAAAAAGTTCTTTGATTAAAAGTGCACTTTTGAAAGTTAAATAAAAAATATAACGAAATTGGATAGTAACTTCAGATTTTGTTGAAGTACGTGTAAAATGAATACTTACACAACAGCAGTGTAAATACTTTAGTGGTATGTACGTTTTACAGCTTGCTGATGTCAAATAATTGTTTTTCAGTTTATGGGACTTTCCATAGGCATTGAATTTGAAGCAGTCTTTAATTATCATACTCTCAGGTGTTCTGTTGTATACAGTGAAAGGTTTAACAAATCTAAATTTTACCTAAGAAACATTGACTCTGCAGTTTCAAATAGTGTCATCCATTCTTGCATCAAATATTTTTCGTAACCAACCAATTGATCTTGAAACGATTTTACCTTTTAAGAACACACAGCATGAATGGAATTCCACGCAGATCTTGGTGGTCGTGTGGCCAAATTTCATGCAATATAAAGAGAATTTTCCTCAAGTTTTGTGAACACATTACATGATGGAAGTTTCTTACATGTTTGTACTTACAAGGTAGGGTGACCCAGAAGTGATACTTTCACCATCACTGTCTTACCAGAAGCATGCTGACATTACAGTTCAGACGTCCCTCTAAACTGTAGTACCCCCACCCCTCTTTCACAGTGCAGACAATGTACTTTCCACCTCCAGGACTAAAGTCCAGCTAACCAGCATCACTGAATCATTCATAAATGTTACCTTGTTCACATTCCAACATGTAATGTCATATAAACCACCTGCTTCTATTCCTATCTTAACAGTCACACACACCTGTTGGATGTCCAAGCGTCTCGCATACAAAACATTTAGCCCCCCCCCCCCTTCCTCCAACTTTTTTCTTGGATGAACCCTGGCCCTTTCATCCCTCTACTACAGATTTTTACATCCTTGGGGTGCCAGCAGTCTGGTATGGGTGTGAAGCATGTGTTGTGAATGTTGCAGCAAGGAGGAGCCTGGAGGCAGTGGAGAGGTCTTGTATGAGGGCAATATGCCGTATCAATATTATGCAGAGAATTCATAGCATAGGGATTGGGAGGAGGTGCAGGATATCTAAAAGTATTAGCCAGAGAGCTGAAGAGGGCTTGTTAAGGTGGTTTGTACAGTTAGAGAATGAAACAAAATAAGATGACTTGGAGGGAATATAAATCTGTAGTGGAGGGAAGGCAGGGTAGAAGTTGTCCTAGGAAAGGTTGGAGGGAGGGGTAGAAGTTTTGTCTGTGAGGGGCTTAGACATCCAGCAAGCATGTTAGATAGAGATGAGTGGGGACAAGTGGTTTGTGATTTTTATGACTTGATGTGTTGTTGGAGTGTTAGCAAAGTAATGTTTATGAAGGGATTCAAGGGAACTGGTTAGTCAGACTTTAGTCCTGGAGGTGGTTAGTACAGTGCTTACACTCTGGAGAATGGGTGGGATATTTACAGTTTTGAACTGTAGTATTGTCAACCCACTGGCAAGACAGTGATGAAGTGGGTGATGGTGAAAGTTTCTTCTCTTTTGGGTCACCCTGCCTAGGTGGGAAATGACCGATATGCTTAAAAAGTTATTCTGTATTGCTCCAGCCTTTCTAAATGCCCATACCATCTCAGTAAGTCCTCCTCAGCTCTATTAATTTGTTTTTAATAACCTAGCACTTCCTAATCTTCAAATTATGCATTGTTTATATAATACTCATAAGCACACATTGCAGTCAGACACATTTCCACTACATCCAATGTTGTCCTCATTGCAGTGTTTAAAACCCATGCTTCACACCCATCTAAGTGTGTTAGTAACAGGATACTGTGATAGATTCCCTTTTGCATTTCTTGATACACAACCTACCTGTTTTCCTTTCAATTCTGTGGTTCAGCTCATCTTCATACATTAGTTTGCTGATTTGTCCACTTCCAAGTATCTGGACACATTCACTTCCTCCATATCTCAGCCTTCCAATTTGGTATACCATCTTTCATTACTAAATTGGTGTTTCCTATTTTCATTTTTAATTTAATTGTACATACTCGTACAAATTTGTCCACCAACCTTTGCAACTTCAGAATCTCCCAAAAGTATTGTCATCGTTAGAAAGCAACTCTGACGACTCCTACTTTGTATTAAGTTATCTTAATCATGCCTCTGCACTACCCAAGCACGCCCTTCTCTTACAACCCCATCTTACAGCCATGGTGACATCATGTATCCCTGTTATAGCTTACTTGTACTGGAAAAGAACTCCCTTTCTACTGTACCTTAACCTGAGCCTCGCTATCCTCATAGCAAGTAACCTACCTTTTAACTGTCGGCATTAACTTTTAAAAGTTTATGAATTCTTTATATCTTTCCATCCTGTAAATCTTGGCAAGAATTTCTTACATGTTAACTCTTATGTTTCATGTGTGATGTATAGGTTTCAGGTTTTGGAACCCTATCCCTTTTATACCCTGATTATGTTGCCTTGATAAAGCTGCTATTGATAGACTGAAGAAAAGAGCTTGTACTCTACAGTGGAAAAATAGTGTGTTTAGAATATTGCTCAGTGCTGATGGCCCTGTTCAAAGCAGGAGAAACATCAGAGCTGGAACAAAGAGGGATCCAGGACTCCAGGAGTAGTGAAACTCTTGAAACTCTTCAAAGGTACATGAAAGGTACCCTAAATATATATTTTGTAATGCATCTATAACTAAACCATTCTCACTTTAAATGTATATTTTTTGTAGGTGTAACAAATTGGAGCCTGAGGCATTGCAGTGTACTATGACTGGTGAGTTTTATGATGTGGTAAAATTAGCTTTGTTTAGAATTTAGTGAAATTATATAACTGATTATTGTTGAAGTTAACCAGGGCAAACTGACATTATATAATGGCATATAAATTCTTTATCTTAAATATAGTTTCTAATGAATTCTTTTGATTTGCAGGCTGACTCGAGTGTTACCTATATTTGGTACAGATTGTTGGTAAGTAGTTATTTAATGTTGAAAATGAAACAAGTATTGTAATATAAAAAAAGGCCATAATGCTTGTTACTGCTTGGAGAGCTCATAAGATTGAGCTTCTGCCTATCAGTGTTTTACTGCTGAGTGGCTAGTCACTAGTAGAGTAGTTTTAATATTAGAATTCTTCCTGTAAAATTACCTTAATACTATTTTATTATCACTGGCCGATTCCCACCAAGGCAGGGTGGCCCGAAAAAGAAAAACTTTCACCATCATTCACTCCATCACCGTCTTGCCAGAAGGGTGCTTTACACTACAGTTTTTAAACTGCAACATTAACACCCCTCCTTCAGAGTGCAGGCACTGTACTTCCCATCTCCAGGACTCAAGTCCGGCCTGCCGGTTTCCCTGAACCCCTTCATAAATGTTACTTTGCTCACACTCCAACAGCACGTCAAGTATTAAAAACCATTTGTCTCCATTCACTCCTACCAAACACGCTCACGCATGCCTGCTGGAAGTCCAAGCCCCTCGCACACAAAACCTCCTTTACCCCCCTCCCTCCAACCTTTCCTAGGCCGACCCCTACCCCGCCTTCCTTCCACTACAGACTGATACACTCTTGAAGTTATTCTGTTTCGCTCCATTCTCTCCACATGTCCGAACCACCTCAACAACCCTTCCTCAGCCCTCTGGACAACAGTTTTGGTAATCCCGCACCTCCTCCTAACTTCCAAACTATGAATTCTCTGCATTATATTCACACCACACATTGCTCTCAGACATGACATCTCCACTGCCTCCAGCCTTCTCCTCGCTGCAACATTCATCACCCATGCTTCACACCCATATAAGAGCGTTGGTAAAACTATACTCTCATACATTCCCCTCTTTGCCTCCAAGGACAAAGTTCTTTGTCTCCACAGACTCCTAAGTGCACCACTCACCCTTTTCCCCTCATCAATTCTATGATTCACCTCATCTTTCATAGACCCATCCGCTGACACGTCCACTCCCAAATATCTGAATACATTCACCTCCTCCATACTCTCTCCCTCCAATCTGATATCCAATCTTTCATCACCTAATTTTTTATCCTCATAACCTTACTCTTCCTGTATTCACTTTCAATTTTCTTCTTTTGCACACCCTACCAAATTCATCCACCAATCTCTGCAACTTCTCTTCAGAATCTCCCAAGAGCACAGTGTCATCAGCAAAGAGCAACTGTGACAACTCCACTTTGTGATTCTTTATCTTTTAACTCCACGCCTCTTGCCAAGACCCCTGCATTTACTTCTCTTACAACCCCATCTATAAATATATTAAACAACCATGGTGACATCACACATCCTTGTCTAAAGCCTACTTTTACTGGGAAATAATTTCCCTCTTTCCTACATACTCTAACTTGAGCCTCACTATCCTCGTAAAAACTCTTTACTGCTTTCAGTAACCTACCTCTTACACCATACACCTGCAACATCTGCCACATTTCCCCCCTATCCACCCTGTCATATGCCTTTTCCAAATCCATAAATGCCACAAATACTGTTCACTTATATGTTTCACTGTAAACACCTGGTCCACACCTTAATACTATAAGAGCTAAAGGGAACAAGCTCAAAAAATACAAAATTTGGCACTTTTTATCCAAATTTATGAAATTTTTGAGAAATTTGTATAAACTTCAAGATAATTGGTTGGAAAAATGGTAATGATTTTGTCATGGTTGTGGAAGGAAATGCCCTGTTGATCAGCTATGATGATACTGATAGGGACAAATGAGAACAGTGATTATCAGTCGATTCTGAAAAAAATATGAGTAAAGGCCATAGAGGAGTGTTATATCCTAGATATTAAGAGTTAGCTCTTTGCAGGTTAGTGTTGACAATCCTAAGTCTGGCTAACTGGTTACCCAGAATCCCTTCACAAAATATTACCTTACTCACACTCACAGCTCAAGTCCCAAAAACCATTGTCTACTCCTATCTTGCATGCTCACATGCCTGCTGTATATCCAAGCCCCGTGCACACAAAACCTCCATTACCCCCTCCCTCCATCCTTTCCTAGAATGACGCCTACCCTGCCTTTCTGAGGATGCCCCCTATCCCTGCCTTCCCTCAGTCATCCTATCTTGCTCTTTCCTCTCTAAATGACAAAACTACCTCAACAACCCCACAGCCCTCTGAATAATACTTTTATTAACTCCGCTGCTGCTGCACCACCACCACCTCCTAATTTTCAAACTACAAATTCTCTACATAATATTTATGCCACACATTTCCCTCCACTGCCTCCAGCCTCCTCTTTGCCACAGCTTTCACAACCCATACTTCACACCCATATAAGAGTGTTAGTACTACTATATGCTCATGCATTTCCCTCTGCCTCCATGGATAACATTCTTTGTCTCCACAGACACCTCAGTGCACTTCTCTCCTTTTTTCCTTTATCAGTTCTGTGATTTAACCCATCTTTCATAAACCCATCCACTTACACATCCACTCCCAAATATCGGAACATATCCACTTTCTCCATACTCACTCCCACCAATCCGATATTCAGTTTTTCCTTACCCAACTCGTTTGATACCTCATCACCTTACTCTTATGTATGTTCACTTTCAACTTCCTTTACATACCCTCCCTAACTCGTCCACTAACCTTTGCACCTTCTCTTTAGAATCTCAAAATATTCCCATCATCTTCCCAATACCTCTTACTCCATTTGTTCCCTTTATTCTGATAAAATTATCTTGAGAATTTCATAATGATACCATATAAATAACTGATTATTGTTGAAGTTAACTAGGGCGAACTGACATTTTATAATGGTATTTAAATTCTTTATCTTAAAAGCAATTTTTAATTCTTTTAATTTGCAGGTTCATTAGTGTTACCCGTATTTAGTGTAGATGTTGGAAAGTAGTTATTACTTTAATGTTGAAAATTACTGTTTGTTACTACTTAAGAGGGTTCAGAATGAAAGTTTGAGCTTGAGCCTATTAGTGCTTTTTCAAGTCAGTGGCTGGTCATGTCAGAGGGCAATGTATGGTGTAAATATTATGCAGAGAATTTGTAGCTTGGAGATTAGGAGGATGTGTGGGGGATTACAAAAAGTATTATTCATAGTGCTGAGGAAGGATTGATGTGATTTGGACTCTTAGAAAGGTGACGGAAAATGGGATGATGTGAAGGGTGTATAAATCTGTAGTGGAAGGTAAGTGGAATAAGGGTTGCCTTAGGCAAGGTTGGAGGGAGGTAGGGGGGGGTGGGCAAATAAGGTTTTGTATGTGAGAGGCTTGGACATCCAGCAGGCATGTGTTAAATAGGAGTGAGTGAAGGAAAGTGGTTTTTGGGACTTGCTGACCTGTTTGAGTGAGTACAAGGTTACATTCTGTGAAGGGACTTAAAAAAAAACTGGTTAGCTGGACTTGATTCTTTGAGATGTAGTTACAGTGCCTGCACTCTGAAGGAGGGCTGGAGATACTTGCAGTTTTGAGGGGCATGAACTGTAGTATCTGTGTGCCTCTGTCAAGAGTGAATGATAGTGAAAGTTTTTTTTTGGGTCACCCTTTCAGTGGCTGCATTGTAGATCTGTCATTGATGCCAGGGTCACTAGTATAGATAGACACTTTGAGCACAGCTTACTCTGATAAACCGTAAGTGGTAAATTTTGCCTACATATGAGAGAATGCATCTGCCGTGAGTGTTCGCATTATAAAAAAAGAACTTAGGGCCCCACACAGTTTGTGATGTGAAAAGCAAAGCTTGGGCCTTCTGTGCTATTTCTTGGTATCATTTAATTAAATGAAAGACTTATTAATGGTTGGTTTTAGGACTTAAAGTAGCTTGAAATTGGGCTCAATATAGCTTTGTTAAATTTTTGCTGACTTTTCCTGACACTGGTTATGGTTGCCCTTTACCTTCCACCTTGTCCTTTTTTTTTTTTTCTTAGTAGGTCTGTTTCAATTACTGAGATCCCATAAATCATGACCAATCACTCCTGGTTATATTTTATTATCCAAAAATAGGGCAATTTTTTTTTTTCCAAAATGGAAGGTGAGCTTAATATAGGAGACGTCTGGGGACATGATCATTGACCAGAAAAAATGTTTGTGTCTAGTGTTTATTTGGCCTCTTATTTTTAAGTTGGATTTTTTTTTTTTCAACAAGTCGGCTGTCTCCCACCGAGGCAGGGTGACCCAAAAAAGAAAGAAAATCCCCAAAAAGAAAATACTTTCATCATCATTCAACACTTTCACCACACTCACACATTATCACTGCTTTTGCAGAGGTGCTCAGAATACAACAGTTTAGAAGCATACACATATAAAGATACACAACATATCCCTCCAAACTGCCAATATCCCAAACCCCTCCTTTAAAGTGCAGGCATTGTACTTCCCATTTCCAGGACTCGAGTCCGACTATATGAACATAACCGGTTTCCCTGAATCCCTTCACTAAATATTACCCTGCTCACACTCCAACAGATCGTCAGGTCCCAAGTATCATTCGCCTCCATTCACTCCTATCTAACACGCTCATGCACGCTTGCTGGAAATCCAAGCCCCTAGCCCACAAAACCTCCTTTACCCCCTCTTTCCAACCGTTTCGAGGACGACCCCTACCCCTCCTTCCTTCCCCTATAGATTTATACGCTTTCCATGTCATTCTACTTTGATCCATTCTCTCTAAATGACCAAACCACCTCAACAACCCCTCTTCTGCCCTCTGACTAATGCTATTATTAACTCCACACCTCCGAATTTTCTGCATAATATTTACACCACACATTGCCCTTAGACAGGACATCTCCACTGCCTCCAACCGTCTCCTCGCTGCTCCATTTACCACCCAAGCTTCACATCCATATAAGAGTGTTGGTACTACTATACTTTCATACATTCCCTTCTTTGCCTCCATAGATAACGTTTTTTGACTCCACATATACCTCAACGCACCACTCACCTTTTTTCCCTCATCAATTCTATGATTAACCTCATCCTTCATAAATCCATCCGCCGACACGTCAACTCCCAAGTATGTGAAAACATTCACTTCTTCCGTACTCCTCCTCCCCAATTTGATATCCAATTTTTCTTTATCTAAATCAGACAGCAACCACCCAGGGAAGTACTACCGTCCTGCCAGATGACTGTGAAACAGAAACCTGTAACTGTTTTGCATGATGGTAGGATTGCTGGTTTCTTTTTCTGTCTCATAAACACGCTAGATAACAGGGATATCTTGCTACTCCTACTTACACTTTGGTCACACTTCACAGACACGCACATGCATATATATATACATACATGTAGGTTTTTCTCCCTTTTTCTAAATAGCTCTTGTTCTTCCTTATTTCTTCTATTGTCCATGGGGGAAGTGGAAAAGAATCTTTCCTCCGTAAGCCATGCGTGCCCGTAGAGGCGACTAAAGTGCCGGAGCAATGGGCTAGTAACCCCTTCTCCTGTAGACATTTACAAAAACAAAGAAGAAGAAAAATTTTATAAAACTGGATGCTTAAATTTGGGGTGGTGGATGTAGTGCGGATGACAAGAAACAGATGATTGCTGATGTTATGAATGAAAAGTTGGATGTCCTGCCCTAAGCGAAACAAAGCTAAAGGGGGTAGGGGGTTTCGGTGGGGGGAAATGGATTAAATCTGGAGTATCTGAGAGTTAGAGCAAATGAAGGGGTAACAGTAATGTTGAAGGATCATTATGGAAGGAGAAAAGAGAATATGAATGTGTAAATTTTAAGAATTATGTGGATTAAAGTAAAGATTGGATGCGAAAAGTGGTCATAATAAGTGTGTATGCACCTGGAGAAGAGAGGAATGTAGAGGAGAGAGAGAGATTTTGGGAGATAAGTGAATGTATAGGAGCCTTTGAACCAAGTGAGTGTCATTGTGGGAGGGGATCTGAATGCTAAGTAGAGAAACTTTTAGAGGGGTGTGGTAGGTAAGTTTGGGGTGCCAGGTGTAAATGATAATGGAAGCCTTTGATTGAACTTTGTATAGAAAAGGGGGTTTAGTTATAGGTAATACATATTTTAAGAAAAAGAG